AGAATGTTTGCAACACGTAGTTTTAAGATCCTGAATGTGAGAATAAAGCGTGGTCAATTTCAAAATTATTTGTCAATTTTGAAAGTTCTTTCAAACAAAAGAACTTACTTACATAACCGAGAGCTCTAGGGTTAAATTGAACGAAATTCTGTCTGCCAATCATTTAATCGGGAAGCCGAGTTAATCGTTGAGTCGTCAGTTTAAATAAAAAACGCGCACTGTAGGCTTGTTTGACTGGATCGCAAACTTGCCTTAAGCGTTGGGAACGTGTTCACAAATAAGTCATGCCTTTCATAAGGAATAGCCATTTTCAGTGACAAAGAAGAATGGGAAAATATCATCCATCAATCGGACTGCATCTTTGAGTGTGTTGCTCACGCGTCAGTGAATTTCTACAGCCGCACTGTACGAAGTCAGCCATGATTTCAAGTTCCTCGCTCAATTAAAGTATAAAAACATCTTCAAATGCGCATGGCCGAACTGAAGCCTGAGAGTGTAACACAACTAAATTAAACTGAATACATACTGCAGCAATAGAAAGCATTTCAGGATGCATCACACGTTCGGCAAAACTAAAAACATGCAATGATTAATTAATATCCCCAAAAACCTTACATATAAAAAATACTGTTAACAAAAATAAGCGGACTTTCGCCTGATAAATGGCTTGCTTTTTCTTCCAAGGAATAACTGCTTCTTTGATAACACGCCAATAGTAAAAACACGCGACATATTTGATAAATTTATTGCGTTACGTGACGTGTGGCACGGCTTACCTGTGTAAAGTTTGATAGGATTACACTTCGACCGTTTCGTGTTGGGCGGTTGAGTACACGATTGTTCGGTGCCTTCCAAATGGAGCAATATTCAGGTATCTTTATCACCGTGAACCTGATATCGTAGTCAGGTTGATGGCAAAATTTCGATCTTGGATGAAGTAGAGAATGAATTGGCGACTCGACTTCCTCTGCTGCCTCCTTGACAAGCACTCGCAGGTGCTCAACAGTTATTTCGGCCGGCCTATAGAAAACACACTCGTTAATTTTTCAAAAAAAAACCCAAAAGATTTGAGTACTCAGTAAAAGACACTACGAATGAGACAACCGAACATCTTCCTTTGACATACATGCTCTCCGTCCAGTCCCTTTAAACTTTTCTAGCAAATACCTAATGTAAAATGTGCTCAAAACCCGCATGGCAATGGCAAGACAAACTGGAATATCCACTGCGTAACATCCAACAACATCTATCCGTGCCTTCAACGCTAGGCTCTTGAGATTAAAAAAGGAACAAGGTCAGCTCGCCACAAAGATGTTAAATCAAGAGCTTTTGCGGTAACCCATAAGAATAGTCAATAACCGATTTGATTGCAAGAAAGAACAAGCAAATTCTCCTGCGCAACTAGATTTAAACATACGCCTCTTTAAAAATGGATAAATATTCAAGTTCTCTGAGGTGCCCTGATAGTAAGATGGAGGATGGGCCATCAGACTACAACGGAGAAGTTTATTCTTCTTCTTCTTGAAATTAAGATATATTGGCGAACATTATTCATAGGAGGAGATGAATATTTGCAGTAGCAGCTGACAGGTTACAGGGCAGTGACTCAACTGTTGGTTCAATTCCTCAATGACCGACTGCCAGAGGTTAGGTTTATCAACTCTCTATAGTGTTGGACTGGTGCGTTTCTGGATGAGGACGACAAATGAACCGTTACCGGTATTTCCAGCCTTAATTGCGCCTTTGGCAACACGGCTCGATTATCGCTTGTGCGAAGCTGTGTACCCAATTGAATGGACGTTATAGTGGATCCTCGTTCATAACCTGCCCCTCAAATAGCAGCGGTGGTCTACATCCACGTTGACGCCAATTGCCAAACTCTATAACTCTATAAAGGCATAATACGCCCGAAGAGCTTTATTACATGCTACCATACTACTTACTACAATAATGTTTGCTGTAGTAGAAATTAGCATCATATAAAGTTGTTACTGCTTGGAGGTACCAGAAACGTAAGGACATAGGATACTCCATATTGGCCACAGGACACCATATAAATGGACAAATCCCTATGCGGAACAAATTTAAGCAATAGAATCCCATGAAAATTTGAATTAGGAACCTAAGGTAAAAAGAAGTATGATATAAACGTTAAAATGCGTTTTGAAACCCAACCTTTCAGTGTTTGCTAACAAGACTGCATACCCTTTCTCACAACTAAGGGTCCATGTGTTGGGAGTAGCTTATTAAGAGCAAAAATATTTAATGAGAAAATATTAAAATAAGATCTCAGTGACTTCACCCGCAGACTTCTGCTGCAAGCAGATGATTTATATAATACTTAAAATCGCTGTAAAGAAATACTATTGACCGCCGCTCAACATTATCTGACATAGGCTTTCGGAAGCCCAAACAGACTTCGTGTGATATGTTCATAGACTTTCAATTCTAGTGTTAAGTGAACGTTAACACCAATGTATTAATCATAGGTGGGCGAAATTACGGCGAATTGTAGTAAAACGGTTAAGAATGCTGAGTCACCTCAGGTTAGGTCAATAAGCTTTTGAAATTTGGCCGAGGTATCCGTTATTTCAAATTAGTATTATGGAAAAAAACGGACTTCCCAAACTTTATAGTATTAATGACACCTGATTCATTTGCATATTACGTCATAAAAAGGTGAACTGTGAGGAACTTTTGTGTGTCCAAACTACTGATAGTAAATAATCAAACTCGGCTATCAGTAACCTATCAGCTACCTGTTAACAGGTCTTGAAGTTTAATCAATAAGCCTTGCGCCCGCAGAAATGTATAACAACAATCGGACGTCATTTCGACAACAGGCGATTCATAAGGAACCACATGCCTAAGTAAGAGTCCATCAAAATCTGCTATCGGTTTTTCTGGCTTTCACTTCCCATGTAACCAATCATCCCCGTGAATTTCGGGACAAACGCTTTCAGATGTTGTCAAGGCTGACGGGCACTAGTCCTACAGACGTCAAAGGTTTCCCGTAAAGAAACACTGCGATTTACATCAAAATTATTCCTTCGTCGTAGCACAAACGCCACGATCACATGATCATAAACGAAGTATCAGAACATCACGCGACGACAAAAAGAACGAGTTTGAATGGCTAGATGGCGTCATGTTAACAATCTTAAAAGAATGCATAACAACTGCAAGTTAAATAGACTTTAGTAGTCACTAATTCCGTTTGTCAATTACGATGGGCCAGATCTGCTTGCAGCGTTGTAATGGCCGGATCAGGGGCTTGAAATGCAAATAAACATAGTTATCCCTTTTCGCAGATGCAGCGAGCACAAGATGTGGCGATTAATATCCTTATCTACCGTTAAGCAACAGTAAACCAATGGCTGCTCCATGTAAGGTCTCTTTTACATTCCGGGTGTACACAATAAAGCAACTCACACGTGCAGTTCTATTGAAAGCGGTCGGAGAACGACTGACACACTGGCAATGCGCCTGACGCGAATGGGCATTTCCCAGGTCCGTGATCGAATACCAGCCTGCTGAACTTGAAATCGAAAACCCGTGTTGTTGTTTCCAGCCAGACCTAACACAAAAGAATGCAGAATAAATAAATAACTTATTATTACTCATTCACGCGAGATGGGTAGTGATTTTGCACGTTTAGGTTCACTATGATAAAAAGGAATTATGGAATACTAACGCTTCACTTCTCTATTATATAGCTTTTTGAAAGATGTTACAAGTCAGCCGAATAAACTTAAAATTTTCCAGAAGACTTCTAACGTTTTATAAGGACTTACGTCATGACGTACTGTGCTGCCAGTTTGAACGACTACCAAATGAAACCGGTTATTTCCTCCCTTATAATTGAGCATTTGCCTACACTACTGTAAGCAGCGTTCACGGGCGGCTGCCAAACTGGTTTCCCTGACTTCGTTTGGAAAAGTAATTAATTAGGAACTTTAAGTAGAAGTCTACGCTTTTAGCTCTTTTAGTCTAAGATGACACTCCCGATTTTTTCAATTTCAGGTTCGGAGGCAGCTTTTTAACCCGGTATTCTTTAATGTTGTTTATCCAGTTGATGGCGAAAGATTAGGATATACTTTCTACGTGGAAATCGTCTTCCTACTGGACATGAAGTCCACCAATAACATTGTGCCTGAGGAGACTAAAACATATTTTTACTGTGCAACCTAAAATGTGATCCCCTCTCATAGTTTTCGGAGTCATTTACATTAATATCTACACAGGAGCACATTCTATGATTACTTACCTGTATGATGAAAGCAAACCTTGTTCAGATATATGTCCGTTTCCGTGAAGGAAGAAATCGGAATCTTGCTATTACAGTCCATTGAAAGGAAGCCATTCAGTGTTTCGGACACAAGATACTTTATTTGGTTCCCTCTGTCTAAAATAACACATCAGTAAATTTAAATCGGGACAGTGGAGCAGGGTTTTGGCCATGGGCGAATTAGGCATTCTGATGAAAGAATAGAAAGACATATGAACAGCTGCAGTGAGGTAGCGATGGCTGGTCACCGACACAAGCAGCATTGACCGACTACACATCCGTGCTCTTGAGGCATTAAAAGCCGCATTAGAGGAAGAGCGGAAACCTTCCCAAGGAAAAATAAGCAAGTGGATTGCTGAGAATTTATGAGCAGCAACAACAGTAGAGAATTCACAAATTCACTTGGCTTATTCATACATCTATATGTATGAGAAGAAAGAGCGATATCGGGAACCATTATTGTAATTTTCTGACGTTTCAAAAACAGACAAGATTCTGTCATCGGAGGTAAGTGTCGTACCGCGCCTCACAGTACTTATAGGTAGGTGAAAAACAGAGTTAATGGGGGGTGTGAATTTTGCAGGAGGGGGGTGTTTTGTGGCGGTTAGGGCCCAGGGCGATTAGTAACAGGTAACAGCCGCCCATCAAGTGTTTGTTGTTCGTCCGTTTGCAGCTGCCATCAGTCCAGGGGACATAGGGGTGGGGAGGCTACTCAATTCGTACTACTGCCTACGGGTGACGGAGGTGACTCTGGGGTCCGTCCGTCGGGTTTTTTTCTTCGTGTGGTGGAGCTGTTAACCGTCCACGTATTGGCATCAGCTGTTGCCTCAAGCTGGTTTTCTTGTTCAGCCGTGTCCAGTATCCTCCCCGGCCTCAACTGTCGCTCTAGACTGAGACTCATGTCTGCGCTACCACGTTCGTCTGGTTTTGCCTTTTCAGGCTGAGTAGGTGAACTGGCTACGATTAGGCGCGCCCTTTCGTCAGGTCCGGATATTGGTGCGGCTCCGAGTGTGTCCACCACGGACTGATTCATGTTAGACCTGTGTTCACGTTTGCGACTTCGTTCGTTGAGCTGCGTTCGGAGGGCTTGGTAAGCTGTGGAGAGCGCCACACAACGGTTGATGGAGGTTATCCTCGTTTGCCAAGCTTCAATTGTTTCTCTGACTACGCGGTCATTTTCTCGACCCAACACTTCCGCATTATGAAAAGTGAACGTGTTTCCGGAGGCTGCACGATTTTCTGCCACCAAGGACAGTTAATCCATCCTTCTCACTGCCGTCATGTACTCGGCTTCTCTGGTCTGCAACCGTTTGTCTGTTTCTCCAATGTAGTCGGCCGCACAGGAGTTAAAGTTGATCCGGTAGATGATGTCGGTGGTTTCGTCTCGGGGCAGGGGTGCCTTAGGTCTCATGACCAGTTGTCGTGTCATTGATTTTGGTCGGTGGGTGATGCCGATCCCCAGTGGCTTTAATAGACAGGAGACCGCTTCCGAGACGTCGTCGATGTATGGCAGTGCGCGCAATGGTTTTGGTTGTTAGGTCGCCGGATCCAGGTTTGCTTGGGACTGCCTGCTGCGTTCGATAACATTTATAATGTAACCGATGGAGAGGAAGAGGCGCTGAAGGTATTGTAGTTCTAGCTTTCGGTCGTGCGGCTCGCTACAGTGTGTTTCTGCCCATTTGTATAACGTCCTCACACAACTGCGTTTGTGGCATGCCGGGTGCTTACTATGATAGTTCAGGATTTGGCGCGTTTTGGTGGCCTTCATATACACCGTCGTTTTGAGGCACCCTTTGGTCTCTCGATGGACAAGAACATCTAGGAACGGTAGTTGGCTGTCTGTTTTGACCACCATCGTGAACTTGATGTCGGGAAAAATCGAAGTAATGAGATCGTTAATTTCCTGGACCATTTCCCGCTCAATGATGATGAAGGTATCGTCAACACGTCTCAAGGGTTGGACCCGCGAGTTTGAGACTGAGTATGACTAGCTGATGATGGCTAGCCAGCCAGAAATGGCCATTCAGGTCATCATTTGCTTTGTCGTATCCAATCCATATATATATATATGCAGAAGGACATTACCAGCAAAGACATTGGACACTAGAAAGGTCTTTTCTGCCTCATTATGCGTCATCGGCTAATGATACCCGACCCCAGTGTGGCCGCAGAAATTGGTGCCACACCGAGATTTTAACTCGTGATCTCTTCCGTCAGGGCGAACGTCCTAACAGTTGAGCTAAGAGCTCACGGTCTTACCGGTATTAGATCGGGGAT